ACTTGGTCCAATTCCATTGGTACATACCTACCATTACTATTATCATTACTACTGTTATTGTTATTATAATTATTACTGCTGCTACTGTTATAATGAGTGTAATTATAATTTCTTTGGGTTCGTCCTGAACGAGAGGGTTTTGTATGTTGATTACTATTTGCAAAGGGTCTTCCCATCCCAAACATTGCAGTATCATATTGGATAGCAAATGCTATGGCTCTTTCTAATGTATCAGGAGCTTGATATGCCACTTCCATTTTTGTCGCTGGCTTCAGTCGTTCTATGTAATAGGTTACCTAGTCCAATTCTCCCATGTCCTCGATCTGGCCAATTATATTTTGAAATTGGGACGTATATTCTTGCACAGTACTGGTTTGTCGGAGTCTTTTAAGTTGTTGTCGGAGGTATTGTTGAAAGTTCAGAGGTTGGAATGCAGTTCTTACAGCAGTTGCAAAAGTTGCCCAGGTAGTATATGGTGGGGTGTTATTATTTTCTACTACTTTGTTTAAATACCAGTGCAAGGCTGCATCTTTGAGTCCAGTTGTAGCGTAATTGACTTGAGTGGCTTCGTCTGTGATTCCTTGAGTTCTTAAAACATTTTGTGCTTGTAGTAACCATGCCACAACATTTTCTTTCAATTCTCCTTTAAAGGGAGGAATTTGTACAGAAATTTTCGGAGTGGCTGTAGGAGGATTCTGTTGTTGTTGTTGTTGTTGACCCATAGCCTGAGTTAATTGTGCTAAAGCAGCTATCAAGTTATTTATGTCAGTCATTTTTATTTCTAATGCCAAAAAAAAAATTTTTACTAGGTTATATGTGTTTTGTATTAAATGTGTTAGTATGTGTGTGTGTAAAAAAAATATATGTGTATGTGTATGTATTTAACGTCTGCTGCTACCAAGTTGTAAGAATTACTTTTCTTAACGAAAATAAAAACAATATTATAACACGTTCGTCGAACAGGTACTTTAATTATTGTAAAAATACAAGTTATCTTTATTATCTTAAAAATGATGTCCTTTATATAATAAAATTACATAGATTGATATGATATAAATAAAATATAAATAATAATAAAAGATTGATAAAATATAAATAAAATAATCATAATAATTCTTATCAATCTATCCAGAAGATTTGTGGACATAGATAAGTAATAAATAATAATTAAAGACACGAAATAATTGATGTTACAAATAATAATTAATTATGTGTCACGTTTCCAGATGTAAATATTATTGTACTACATAAGACGTTGTATATGATTACGAAGTAAATTGTTACATAATCCTTTCTTTTTTTAGATAAGCTTCCAGTGTCTAAGTATCATTTATTTTGAAAATATAAGGGATATCTTGACTGTAATAATAATGATGATAATGAAAATACTTGCAGCCTATTTATCATTTAAAATAAAATGAAATTAACAGTTTCAACAGCCTATTTATTATTTAATTAGCAGTTAATATTTTTTTCAAAAGCAATGATCTTGACTGTAATAATAATGATGATGATGATGATGATGATACTTACAACCTATTTATTATTTGAAATAAAATGAAAATCAATAATTAATATTTATAAAAACAATGATATTGACTGTAATAATAATGATGATGAAAATACATACTGCCTAATTATCATTTAAAATAAAATGAAATCAACAGTTAATATTTTTTCAAAATAATGATATTAACTGTAATAAATGATGATGGTGATGATGATGAAAATACTTACAGCCTATTTATTATTTAAAATAAATGAAAATCAACAATTAATAAGCAATGAGATTGACCATAATAATGATGATGATGAAAATACTTACTCCCTATTTATTATTCAAAATAAAATGAAAATCAACAGTTAATATTTTTTCAAAAACAATGAGCTTGACTTTAATAATGATGAAAATACATACTGCCTAATTATCATTTAAAATAAATGAAGATCAACAGTTAATATTTTTTCAAAAATAATGATATTAACTGTAATAATGATGCTGATGATGAAAATACTTACAGCCTATTTATTATTTAAAATAAATTAATTTAACAGTCACAAAAATAAATGATACTGATTGTAATGATGATCATGATGATGAATGAAAATACTTACCGACTATTTATTATTTAAAATAAAATGAAAATCAACAGTTAATAATTACAAAACAATGATATTGACTGTAATAAAAATGATGATGATGATGATGCTTACCAGGATGATGATGATGCTTACCAGGATGATGATGATGCTTACCGGTTCCTATTTATTGTTCAAAATGGAATGAAAGTCAACATTTAATATTTTCAAAAATAATGATATTTGGTTATAAAATAATGATGATGATGATGATACTTACCGTATCCTATTTATTGTTAAAAATGGAATGAAAATCAACAGTTAATATTTTCAAAAATAATGATATTTGGTTATAAAATAATAATGACGAAAATACTTACCATCTATTTATTATTTAAAATAAAATGAAGATTAACAATTAATATTTAGAAAAACAATGATATTGACTGTAATAATGATGATGATGATACTTACTGGATTCTATTTATTGTTTTAAGAAAAACAAAAAAAGGAACAATTAGTTTTATAATATTTATTTTAATAGTGATAATAAATGAAATACTCACCACGAACAATTGGCTTTGCTAAAGCAACAACAACAAATGTAATCAAAAAAAGAAGGTGGATATTGAATTTCATTGTTCTTACAGATAAAATTTCCAAATTGTATGTAATTATGAATTTTGGTTATTCTTCACAATCAGTAATCCGTCCTTTTTTTTATCCTTTAAATATTCAAACTTAAATAAATGACTAAACCAATTCAATACAATCATTAATTTACTGTTACTATGAGAAGGATTGCCGATCTTTAATATTAATCAGTCAATAAGAAATTTTTATTTAAAATTCGTTGTGGGCAAAATCCGTTATTATTATGACAAGAATTTAACTATTATTATAATCTTCTGAGATCAGGAACAAAAATTTCCTGTTTGTTATATGATTTGACCCAGACTAAAAATATATAACTTGACCTTAAGGTTTGCTACAACACTAGAAAAAAGAACCAATAATATATTAACATATATTAATATCAACATTAAAAATTTTGGAACTGTAACGAAATTAAATCAACTGATCAGCTGGTTATAATTATTCACTACAGTCAGACCTCCATAAGTGCTCCCCCTTGGGACTGAGGGACAGCGTGCATTTATGGAGGGTGTGCATTTATAGAGAGAAGCAATTTCATTGGTTGCACGTGTTACACGAATTTTTTTAAAAAATTATTATATTATATTTTTAAAATTACTATCCATTATAGTTTGTTTTGATGAATTTACTTTTTTTACATTGAGATATCTTTCGATTTTATTAACCAATTTTATTTGTTCGCTAGCATTTTCCTGCTGTAATAAAAATGCATGTACAGTTTCAAGACTTTTTGATGCTTCCTTATGGCTTATTGTTGGTTGTTCATTGCTATCATTGTCTTCATCAAAATCATCAGCAGGTACATTCATATTATTTTTATATACTTCTGCAAGTTCTTCAATAATTTTATTGTCCTCTGGAACCTATAGACAATATTTGATAAAGGATTGATTAATTTTATTTAAATTTATGTACAAATATTTCCGTTGAATAATTACAAAGCTATAATTAATAAATACTTTCGTTGTAAAAATACAAAGCAATAAATAAAAATATATAATTTATTGTAAATTACAAAAGTTGTAAAATAACAAAAATTTTGAACCTTTATTTGTTATAAAATTATGAGATGAAAGAAAATAGTAATAGTAATAGTAATAGTAATAGTAATAGTAATAGTAATAGTGAATAAAATTTCTTTACGAAATTCGGATTGTGTTATCCAATTAAATCAAAAATTTATGTTGATGATTTCTAAATTTATCCTAGTTACACGATGAATTTTATACATTGGTCACGTGGGGTGCATTTTATGGGTGAGTTTTCATATTAATATGAGCAGACCGAAAAAATACCGTGCAGTGCAGGATATGGAGGGTGTGCATTTATCACTAAGTTTCGAGGTCGTGCATTTACGGAGGGTGCACTGAGGTCTGACTGTAATCGAATCAAATTTTAAAGTTTAAACATGTTCGTAATTCGTAACACATAAATAATAATAATAATAAAACATACAAGATTAGATTTTAAAAATCTTTATATTCCTAAATAAGGTAAAAAATTTGATTATTTTTTGTTTTATTATTATTCTCCAAATTATTATCCCTTTAAATAATACTCTTTTTTTCTTTTATCATGTCTGATGGAATGCCTCCAGAACTTTATAAAAGGGTTATAATAATTGGAGTTGATGGATGCGGTAATTATCCATTGAAAGGTGAATGTCCAAATATTAAAAAGTTTTTGTCCGAGTCGGCTCACTCATACTTTGCAAAAGCTCAATTACCAACAATAAGTGCGCAGAATTGGGGATCGATGCTACATGGTGTTGAACCAAGTAAACATGGTCTAACCAATCCAATTGTTGAACAAGGCACTCCATATCCTGAGGATAGTTCGTTCCCAAGTATTGTCAAAATATTGGAATCTAAACGAACCACAAACGAAGAATTCAATGCTGCAAGTATAGTTGACTGGTCACCTATAAATACTGGGATATTTGAATTGTCATTGAAAATGTACAAATATTCATATCCCGAGGATGAACATGAAACATGGTACAAAAAATTTTGGAGAAAATTGAGAGAGTTGGTTTTAAAGAAAAAATTCACCGAAGATGATTATGTAGCTTGGAAAAGTGTAGATTTCATTAAAAGTAAAAAAAATAAAAATACAAATTTTTTATTTATTTATTTTGCAACTGTGGATAATGTTGGTCATGAAAATGGTTATGGTGGTGAGAAATATATGCAAAATTTGTCATATATTGATGGTTTGGTTGGAAATGTATTAACTGCAATCAAGAAAGCTGGTTGGGAAGATGACAGTTTGATAATTTTGACAACTGATCATGGTGGTAAAGATTGGAATCACGGTGGCGATAGTAAAGAAGAAGTAGAAATAATTTGGGGTGCTAAAGGTAAAAATATTAAGCCTGGAAAAGAATTACATAACGTAACAAATATGGATGTGGCTGCTGTTACTTTGACCGCATTTGGTGTTGAAACACCTAATCATTTTGATTCTAAAGTACCTTTTGGACTTTGGATTGCTAAAAATAAGGAAGCTGAAAAAGTTGAAGATGAAGGAATTTATATTTGAGTTGAGATTTGTGTATTAATTTTAATATTGTTTAAATACTTGAGCGTTATTATTATACTTAAATGTTATATTTGAGTTTGAATTTAATCTCCTTAATTAATTACAATAGATAATCTTATTATTTATTATTTATTACAATGGTTAATCATTGTGAATATTTACCTATTTATTCTTTTTGGATTGTAAATTTTGGGTGGGGTGTTTGGATATGAAATTCACATACGTGAATTGCAAATTTACATAGATTTCATTTTAACGCACAACTGATCTAACATATAAGATAAATAAAATAAAAAGAAGTTTTAAATCACAAAAATTTGTTAATGCAGAATCACTACAATGATGTGCAACAACATTGACATGGACTAAATTGATATTCTGAATGAACTATGCAGATGATTTTTCTATCAATCCAACTTGGATGGAAAAGACAAGTATACTTTTGGTAAATTGTCATTGAGGCAAGTTTTATTTTTTTTGTGATCTGCATACTAATACCATATACAGAATTTCCGAATTTATGTAAAGAACATAATAATAGTAAACATATTGTTTTCAAACCATTATTATTCCCCCGTTTTCAAAGATATAGGTGCCAAATTTGCATTAAAGGTAGTATATATGTTATATTTTATAGCTATGGGAAGATTTAATGGATGTAAAAATACAAATGGCATAAAAGAACTTATTTGAAATACAGAAAATTTCTTTCTTTATCATAGTACTTCTATCTATTGCAACTTCAAAAAAATTGTATAAAAATAAAGATTCTCTCATCACATGAAAAAAATATTAGGCTCGATTTTTTTATTAATAAATTTTTTATATAAAGCAATAATATTTAAAGACATTCATTTCAATCATGAATAAACTATAAAATAAGCATTGCAACTAGAAAATATTATCTAAGACACTTTACCAAGTCTTTATGACTAAATATCAAATGTTCCGAGGATTGCTTGCCTAACAAAAAAGAAATCAAGTAAGATAGGATCTGGTAAAACACTTGTAGGAATTTGAATAGGGGGGTTTTACATTGTAATATAAACAATCTAATGGAATTCTGATCACACATGTGCCTTGTAGGTAATTTAATGAATTCTCGTTTTCATCATGTGTACCAAATTCAAACTAATAATTAACCAATATATATTATAAATTTTATAAATCAACGGAGAACAAGGTTTGCTGATGTAACCTACCTTGTTTATAGGTTTAAGTTTTTGTTGCACATATGTACCTGATATGCAATAATGCTATACCTGTTGAGGATCAAAATTTTAGAATGATACACAACAAAAAAAATTGACACATATGCTGTGAAAATATACTTGCTTTCATACGCTGAGGAATTTGATCATTGGGAACATAATCAATCTTAATGACAATTACATCATGGGCATGATTGTTATGTAACCAGTAATTCCATGCCTTTTCCTTGAAATGACGAATAGACTCTGAAAATGCTACTTCTACAACAAGGTTTGGCCATGGTTTATTCTACAAATTAAAGATATAATATGAAATCAACTTTGAAGAATTCAAAAGCAACAAAAAATAAAAAGGTACCTTTCCATCACTCCCATATGGTGAGATTACTTTAGATTTCCTTGGGCGAAATGGTTGATCAGATTCTTTGCCAGAACCACTAACACGAGTTGCTTTAAGCAATCAAGATTAGTTTGAAAAATATGGGCATAGAATGAGAAAGTTAATGAATTGATGCCTACTAGTAGCCCCAAAGCTATAAATCTCAGCATCTGTCTCATCAGCAGGACTACACTGTTTCATCATTAGTTTAGCAATTGCACCAATGCAAACTTCATGTGATTGTGATGGTAATTCATAAATTGTCACATTGCCTAAAACAATTCCATTTTTTTCAAGTTTTGCATCCCACTCCCAACACCCATGGACATTAAATCGGTCTGCATGTTCTTCATATTTATCAATAGTCCCATCTTTCACAAGAATATATGGGAGCCTTGATATAATTAGTGAAAGGTTAGTTTATTTATCTTTGGTAGATAAAAGATATGCATCACTTACTTTATTTTGTCCCATTCTGCCATAGGGTGAAGGTTACCCTGATTCCACCATTGGACACGATACTTTTCTAACTTGTCCATACTTATGAAAATAATAAAAACAGCTTGTTAAAAAACAAGCATTACAAAGATTATCAGTACCTTTGTTTAACATTTTCAGACAGTTACCTTATGCTTTCAGACTTTTTGGAAAATTTGACAGTAACATTGCTACAATAATAGTTAAGAATAACTTGTTAGAAAAAAATGGGAAAAGAAAATTATAGACTTGTATATATTATTCACCTTGAGGTATCACTTGTAACAGAACTTGCTGTTTATAATAATAAGAAAATAAGGCAACAATGATACCATTACTGAGTTTTTTAGGTGAGATAAGTGAAATGAGAAAACATACCGACCTTTTGAAGTTGAGTGTGAGCTGGATTCACTATCACACTCTGTCTTTTTTTCCATTTTTACTATGGTTGGCTCGGTCTAAAGACCTCCTATTTCTGCGCCACATGGCCAAATTTCAAAAATAGCAATTTTGTAATTTGTTCAAAAATGCAATAAAAATTTTCGAAAATAGGACTTCACGT